GATGCATTTCAATGGGGATACATGAAGATCGGTTGGTTAGTATTATGTGGCCTTTTTATATATACTTTTATATATAATGCTGAATGTTATAAATTTTTAATTTTTATAATATTTTAATTTTGAACAGGCAGCAAAGCAAGGGGGAGTTAGGCCATCACAGCTAGAGACCTACCTGTTTACTCACACAACTCGCAGGCCTAAAGGTCAAGAAGACGCATCACCGGTTTGGGTGTGTCCAAAAGCTGAGCAGACATATGTAAGTATCAAATTCCTTGATGATTTTTTTTTTTATCAGCAATATTTTATTTTATTTTGTATTAATTTATAATCGGAGTACAAGGGATACCCCTACCCATTACAAATACAAGATCACCTCTTATAATAATATTACTTATTCAAAGCAAAACAATCTCCACAATATGAATGTCAGCTAATTTGCTCACACTTCCCCTCATGATAAAGCCTGGTTAGGGAAGGTGCACCAAGTATCATGCTATATCTTAGGTTTTAACTTCACCTTTATCCATGTAAAAGATGTAGACTTGATCAATGCTATCACTGTGCTTGTTGTGCCTTTTCCTTCTTTGAAAACCTTCTGATTTCTCCATAACCAAATTGACCAGATGATGGTGAACCAGAATATATTCCATGCTATTCATAATTTTCCATTAGAAACTAGTCCTGCATGTTGCATAAAGTGTTCCCATCCTCCCTCTTGTGTAGTTGTCGTGATGCCCCACAATTCATAGCATGCAGTCCATATTTTCCATGAGCTTTTAAATGAAAACAAAACATCCTGGGATTTATGCTTTCTGCATCCTATTCACATAGCAAGCACAACAATTCCTCTGGGTCTTCTATTAAGTTCCTTGTGAGTAAGTTGTCCTTTGTTGGAAGACGATTTTGGATAATTTTCCATGCTAGCGCCACAACCTTCAAAAGGTACATCTTTGTTCTATAGACGCTTGTTCAGCAAGTGGTATGCTGATTTCATTGTATATTGCCCATGTTTGTTATACTTCCATGCCCATACATCTTGTGTTCCTTGTGTTACACTTACATTTTGGATTTCAGTTACCATTTCCTGCAACAAGCAATCTTCCCAGGCAAACAATTTTATTCTCCATTTCCACTCCTATTGCCATACCCCTTCTTCCCATTTTCCCATCCTAGAAAGTAGAGCCTCCTGCTCTAATGCTATCTTAGGAATTCCCATCAAATTCCTTGATGATAGTTATTATAATTAATATGAGCACAATTTAAATTATTCTAACTAATGAAAATTTATATTTGAAATAGAATGTTGCTCACCAAAAGTATGTGGAAAAACATGGGCCAAACAAGGAGGTATGGCCAAGGTGGGATCCAGAAATTTGGAAGGTTGTGGTCGGACCCTCTAAAAGGGTCAGATGAGAGGGTTGTAAACACTTTAGGACCCAGTAGAGCATGGCATACCGTGGCGACGATATGAGCTTAGTGATTGCTCGTCCTCTACCACCAGGATGCTTATGACGCAGGTCCACCAGTTGTAGACTGAGCTCGCACAAGTTAAGCAAGAAATGGCAGAGCGAGTACAATCAGAGACTGCACGTATTCAATTAGAGGTATCACAGAGAGTTTCAGAAATGGAGGCTGCGTTTGATAGGAGAATTCAACAACATATTGCATTACTTAGCCAGCAGTATGCATCTATAGGACTTCCGCCATCACAAATTGTTGCTCCTTCACAGGCTGGTGGTCCTGCACAGGCTCGTGGTCCTCCTTCAAAGGCTAGTGGGTCCAAATTTGATCATTTATCACCACCTACTTAGGTAAGATGTAGAAGAAAATTAATTAATCTTTACAAACTGAAATTGAATTAATCTTGGTGACTCTAGCAATTGTAGGTGGAGAATTAGAATAAATTTGGTGTTTAGGAAATATGGAAAGATAACATTGTTTATTGTTTTCCATTAAACCATAGGATTTCTTTGTCAAATTTAAGATTTGTTAATTTCATTGCATTATATTTATTTTAATAGATATTTATGCTCGATATTGTTTATTTTCTCTTCTTAGGTTCTCTCTGTTTGTTGGGATTTGGCAAGACGAGGTGGATCCAAAGGAAGGGAAATGAAGGTTGAAAGACTCCCGAGCAAGATGTTGATATAGGTGGTTTGGATGCTTTGATTTAAGAGGAAAAAGGCAGTTTAGCTACTTTTGACTCATCATGAATGTTGTATTGAGCCTTATAAGGATGTCATATTGTATATATGATGGTTTAATTAATTTTAAATGTATAATATTTTAGTTTATATTAATTAATATATAATATTCATTAAAAATATTAGATATTAATGGCACATTACTATCAATTTATATAGGATTGTGTTGGCTAATAATTTGGTTTATTGCCTTGGTGTTTAAGGCTGATGTAGGTGAGGGGTCTGAGAAATCAATTTTTCCCACTGGTCATGTTTGCATGAGGTTTATGCAGGTTGCAGGTTAGGTCCGAGAAATCAACTGGCAATGCAAAGGGGTTAAAACATAACCGACTGCCAATAGGATGTCGGTTATATAAATATAACTGACAATATGAATGTCGGTTATATTACATAATCGACAGCCTTTAAATTTCGGTCGGTTTTAATGGAGCCCGCCCAAAATGTCCACCAAATTTGCTTGGGTGGGAATTTAAAATACTATAACCATCATAAGTTCTGTCGAAGATACTTGTTTATATACCTGTCCCATGTTGCCTTATGTCACTTCTTCTCAAAGCTTCTCTTACGTTTCCCTTCCTTTTTCAATTTATTCTCAAACATGGCACCCCAATTTTGTTTCTCACTGTCTTTTTCTTTCAACTTTTCATTTTCCTTTATCTTTCTTCTTCTTCTTCCTTTCTAGCTCTTAGTAATTGCATGGTTCAATAGTTAAATGGTTACTTTCCTTTATTAAATCTTGCAACCTTTCTCAGTTTCTTTAGTTGGTTGTAGTCTTCTGCCACCTCCACCTTTTTTCATATTTTGTATCAGTTTAAGGTTTGTTCTTTATTCTTTGTATTAATCATCTAATTATTTTAATAAGATACATGAGTATCTACTAATTAATATATCTGATTATTTTGTTTTTTTGCAGATTATATATTAAAGTCACCAAAGAAAAATGTTTTCGAGGTAAATTCTAATTTTATTTGTGATTAATGTTTTAATATCATTTTCGTTAACCTCATGGAGCTTATTTTAGTAGTATAATGTATAATAATTTGTTTTTCTTTTTGCAGATTAAACTCATTTTTTGAGATAAATTGCTTGGAAGTTAACTTTTTTTTTCATTAATTTTTTTTATATTATTATAAAAACAAATTAATTTGCTTAATATTTTACTTTTTATTCCTCTTAAATTTATTATTGTGGAGTATGGTTTAAAGGATGAAATTTGGTTATGTAATTTATATTTTTAATTGAATTAATTTCACAATATTTTTTTTTGTTTTTTATGTCGCTATATTCGACAGCCATATACTGTCGATT